AGTCAACCCAAAAATTTTAAAACAGGTAAAAAATCCAAACCCAAAACCTATATGTTTGCTAATTGGGTCAACTCAAACCCAAATTTTTTTGGGTCATGTCAAAAATTGACACCCCCAATCTAATCCCAACTGCATTGTCCATATTCAACTCAATAGTAACAATTGCCTAATATGGCTGATTCAGATACTCTAAATATTTTTAGTAAACAACTTTGTCAGCTACCTTACCAGAGAAATCAGCTGTCCACTAAAACTCCTTTTTGTCTATAACCATTGAACTCATTGCAAACCCAGGCTACACTACTTGGCATTTCCTAGATCAGAACCTCTCAATTGCCCTCTAATCTACAATCTCCCAAAACATTCTTCCCTAAATTCTCAATTTCCATTCTTATCACAACATTTTGACCACTCTAGAGAAACGATTACAACCAACAAATCGTTTCTAAGTAATTCAAATAAACAATGAGCTTCATAAATATCTCAATGAAAATATCTTGTGAAAAACATCACTGCTACCGACTCCCATCTCGAACCTGAGAATGTCATATTGCATATCCTCAATTGACTTCCTCCGATCTATCAATCCTTTGAAACCTTCATTGGCATCAATCTCACCCCCATCAGCCTACAAGATCTCTACTCCCTCTTATGCAATGAAGAAATCAATATGGTCATAAAAAATCAAACTCTCCCAACCGAATTCAACCCCAATTATGTTATCAGCCATTAGGGATCGTGCACCCTGATACAAATAAAGTAGCTCTACCAACCACACACAAGCAGGTCCCTAATTCTCTTTTTAGCGCACAAGAGGAGCCCGTAACACTACATCTGCAGCTCAACCCACCTGCCAAATGTGCAAGAAAATCAATCACATTGCCGCCAGTTTCTAGCATCATTATAATCTTCAATACAACCCCAATTGATCCACCCAGTCACTAGATTATATACTTAACATCAACCAACTTCATCTGATTGGTTCCTAGACTTCGGTGCTTTAACCCACCTCACCTCATATCTCTTTAATATTCAACAACCCATGTCTTTAATATTCAACAACCCATGTCTCACCTCCCTGGATTGAAAATCTACAATAGGTTTTTGTTCATTCTTGATAAATACTCTCATCTCAAGGAGTGTCAAGAAGCAACCAACAATTTTTAGATCTTCCTCCAAATCAAAATATCGTGTTCTAGCATCTGAAGCCTTAGGCATCATCTAGATCCATCTCCTTCCAATAGACTTTAACATCCATTCATCATCTTCAACAACACTTTAGTCTGAAAATATCTCAACTATGGTCCTTACCAACAATCCATTCTTTCATGCGTGCACCAAACACATTGAAATTGATTACTACTTTATCTGGGATCGCATTCGCCTACAATATATCATAGTTCAACTTAGACATCCTTACCAAAGCTCTCTCTTTGTCATGGATTCAACAACTACACAGCAAATTGACTCTCTAATCTTTGGATCCTCAATTTGAGGGGTGGTGATAAGCCATATAAATATATAATGATAAGCAAGCACCTGACACACTCACTATCATCACATTTCCACTTCCTCTGAACACATTAGTAGATTCTCTGCAGACTTCATCTAAGCCACTCCTTGCTAACCATCTGAGGCATCCTCATCTTACATCTAATTGGCCTCCTTTACAATACTTTGTATAGCGATGCTTGGATATAAAACTCATGTACTCATTATATAGGTGTGTGAATCAATACATAGTGACATTGTCTTGCTTCTTCTTCTTCTTAAGCTCTTGTGCTTCTATATTCTACATGTTTCTACTAGCCTCATTAGCATAGTCACTTTAACTCGTGCCTCTAAAATGTTGCAAAAAAAAAAAAAAAAAAAAAAAAAAAAAA